GTGGGACACGGACACGCACCTCCGCGCACGGGTGGGGGTAGGGGGTGTCCCGCCGTCACGCGTCGCTGTGCGAGGGATTTTGTGCCTTTTTAAGTCCCTGTATGTTAATGCAGACAATCCGGAGAGCTTGTGTACTACCAAATCCTGATTAAAAACGCCTTCCAGGAACCTGCGCCTCGCCTGCTTTCTTTCATCCTCCTCCTTCCTAACCCTCCACTCGATGCAGACCCAATTCTGGGATCGCCCGGCTGGGCAGAAGGCAAGGGCTAGTCTTTTAGACTTAAGAGATGGAGGGGTGGGGCAAATTCCAGATCAGTGGATTGGCCCCACTCATTCCTCAGCCGGCAGCTAAGACATGGTAGATGGGGAGGGGAAAGGGGTCCTATGAGGTTTCAGCCTAGTTGGACTTGAGCAACCCTCACTCAGCTGGCTGTCTCCTTTCATCCGGAGGAGGGCTTTGCAGGTGGACTCTGGTCTTTGGGGCCGACTCTAAATTGCCAACTTGCTGGAGAGGGGATGGGAAATAGGGGGGTGGGCACAGTAATTATTTCTCTATGGATCAGGCATTTGAGGCCAAGTGTGTGGTGGGGATGGGAAGCCTGCCCTTGCTCTGAAGTGGGGTCTGAGGGAGCCCTGGCCTGGGTGAGAATGGTCTGTTGAGGGGGATCAGTGAGAGGGTGGACTGTGCAAAGCCTGGGGGATGCAAGGATAGAATGTGGGTTGAGAGAGAACTAGGTCTAGGAGAGGGGTGGGACACCAAAAAGAACTGCAGAGACTTTGCAGACCACAGAGAGGAAGGGTGAAGGGAGGGGGCGCTCCCTCTCTCTGTTCCCCACCCCACCTCTGCAGGCCTGTAGCCACAGTGCCAAAAGAGGAAGATGCTTTCCCCCTTGGGGTCTAAAGTAAGTGTAGGGAAAAAAGAAGAGCAAGCTACAGCATTTCTTGACCTGCAGAGCACTTAGAAAGCCTCTAGGTAGTCAGCTCCTTGCCTTTGGGCAGGAAGGGAAGGACTGGGGACACTGAGATCTGGGGGTCAAGTATGTGAGGATCTGTAGAGAACTAGGGAAGGCAGCTGCCTTCCTGGGTCATCTTACCCCTTCCACCCAGGTGACTGCCACAGGCCAGTATACCCGGGATGGGTGGCGCTTCTGGGTTTGGGGTGGAGGAGCAGAGGGAGGGCTCTCAGCTTGGCAGATGTGGTTTGAGGGTGAGACATAGACAGAGAGAGGTGAAGAATCTGGGAAAGGTGGTGGTGAGCAGAGGAGGCTACACTGTTGGTTTCTTATCTCCAGCTTTCAGGCTGGGCAACTATGGCAAAGGGTGGAGCATATGTTCCCCCCGGGAGGAGGGGAGATGGAAGGCGTGTGCTGAGTAGCTGCTGGAGGGGGCGCTGGCAACAGCTGTGAGAGGCATAAAGCCCTTCCCCCTCCCAAGTGAGAAAGGAGGGGTGTGCCAGGGCTCATACTCCTTTTGTCACTTGGCAGCCCCCCCTTCTTTGACCTTGGGACTGTGGGCTGATGTGCAGTGCACAGTGTCTGGGCTTGATCAGGGTCCAGGCAGGAGAGTTGCTCAATGCAGCCTGTGTGGGGTCGGGGGTATGTGGAGTAACCTTTCTCCAGTCAATAGCAGAGAAGTCAAGGCTGAGGAGAGCCCAGTTTTGTTGGTGGCAGGAGCAGACCGGAGTCTGGTCCATCCAACTCCCTTCACTTTTCCTGCTGGCTGAGTAAACACAGACTTGGGCTGAGCTCCAAAGCTGGTGAGGCCACAGCCCTCTGGTCCAGGCTTAGTGGAAGCAGGGGGAGGGTGGAAGATTTCATTCTCCCTGAGTGTCTCAGCTCCAGTGGCCTGCCTCCCCTCCTCCCATAATTCACACTCACCACATCTACCTTGGAATCACTAGGGAGATTTGAAACAGATTTCTCATCTCTGACCTATGGAATCTGGGGGGAGTAGGACTCAGCATCCCCAAATAATGCTGTGCCAAGCCAGGCTGATGAACAACAAGCAAGCTAGAATCATAAAAGGGTCACTGCCCTGGAAAGGGAGCAGGAAGGTGTGTGACTTCCCCTTGCTGACCCCCAGCACTTTTGCTTCCCTCCAAGATAGAATAGGGGGCTGTCACTGCTTATGTCTATAGGGCCAAGCACACAGAGGCTGTCCAGTCAGTGATCACTGGCTGATTGAATGAGTACAGGATCGCTTGGGCAAATGGTTGCATACTCGTTGGGCTCAGTCATCCAGGAGGGGCCAGGAAAGAGTGAGAGAGGACCTCCCACTCTGAGGAGAGAGGAATTTGAGCCCAGGCCTGGCCCTCCCAAACTTGGAGACAGATAGGGGAGGGGCTTTGAAACAGAAAACCCAGCATGCCCAGGCCAGGGTGGGCTTGGCAGTGATCCTTAATGCAAAGCTGTCTCTACTCTGAGGTTCACAGCCCTGCTAAAGGGCAGAGGGTACCAGATTTCCCCACACAGGGGGTTGGGAGGCCAGTGAGGCAGTAGAAAGACTTCTAGGTTCTGGGCTACCCTGGTTGATGTGCTTTGTGACTTGGCCCTGTTGATGCCCCTCTCCAGCCTTGTTTCCCAGTCTGATATTGTCAGTGATGCCTGATTTCCAGTTCTCATCCCTCCGCTCTCCCACATAATGGAAGGGGAGGGCTTTGAGATAGAAGAAGAAAGGTGAGCACTGTGAGTGAGGCATCTATTCCTATGGATGGGGCTTTTCCAGAGAGATCCAAGAACTGGCCAGATGGCAGGGGAAAGGGGATTCTAATAGGGGTGCCCAAAATGTCAGAGATAAGACAGGAGAAACAGGAAGAGGTTCTGCTGAGAAAGAATGGCTTGGTGGAGTTGAAGGATATCCCTGCTGGGTAGGATGTGTCTGGTGCTGAGTGAATGAATTCTGAGCCAGACAGGAGAGAAGCACGATCAAAGCACACTCCAGAATGTGCTGGGGTCCTGCCCAGGGTCTGGTGCTACCTTGTCTTGTATCACTCCCCCTCCACCCATCAGGTCTTCATAGATGGTCTGATTATGAGGAAGAGTATGGCAATTGCGGAGGGGAGAAGTCACAGCCTTGGGCAGATCTCTGCCGTGGGAATTCCTGCCTTCCCCTCCACCAGTCTTTGGGCTGAATGTTTGCACAGAGACCTCAGCTGGGAGAACCCTTCCTTTCTCCACCACCTATCCCCCATAGGTGTGGCATTCAGACATTTCTGAGGCTGGAGAGGCAGGCAGTGCTCTCCAAACCAGAGCGAGCCAGGGAGGGGGTAGGAACTGGATGGGGGAGAGAACTAACATTTATCAAGCAACTGCTATATGCCAGAGCCATTATTTACATGACCTCATTACACATCCTTTGTGGAGTGTGTATTATCCCCATTTCAATTCCTAATCAAGAAATCTCACACTCCATGAAAACACAGACCAGGTCTATCTTGCTGATCCACAGATTCACAGCCTCTAACACGGTGTCCCAGACAATAGACATTCAAGGACTTTTTAAATGAATGAAAGAATGAAGTAATGAAAAAGCCTTAAGGGTCTCAGTGTTTATCTGGAGAGACAGCCATGTAAACACGTGCATGTGGAATAGAGGGTGGACTGTGATGGAAGGATGTGGGAAAACAATTAGAAAGGAGAGTGAGTCTGCTTGGTGGGTAGAGAGGAAGGCTTTTGGGAAAAGGAGCTGTTTGAGCTGGATCCTGGAGGAAGAATAGGAATTTGTCATGTCAATAGAGGGAGTGAAAGAGACCCCTGGGCAGAGGAACCTGCCTAGGGAAAGACCCAGAAGCATGAGATGCATGATGCATTTAGGGAACTGCTGGAGCATACACAGTGAGGCTGGAGCAGAAGGTAGGAGCCAGATCATGGCGTGGGGGGGGGTAGGGATGCTCATGTGCCAAGTCGAGGATTAGAACTATCTCCCAAGGACTGTGGGGGCCACTGTAGATTTCCACAGATTTGAAGCAGAGAGATGGGATCAGATTTAAGTTTCAGAAGGATCACTTGGGCAGCTGCAGGAAGAATGGATGGGCAATGCAGAATGGGAAAAACAGGCCAGTGGCTGGGGAACTACCAGGCAGGACAGACAGGGCTGTGCCCATGGAGCTGGGGCAGCAGACACAAATGTTTTAGAGGAATGCTTGGCAGGACTCCCTGAGAGTCTAGATGGTACCTGAATGTGTTGGAGGTGTCAGGATAGCTCCATGGCTTCTGGTTTGCATAGGCTGTATGTAGGAAAACAGAAGCCCATGTGTTCAAAAGGCTAACAAAGTGCTGAACACGATCAGCACCATTCTACCGGGAACAAAGCCAGGTCAGCCTTGACGGGGCCTGGTACATTGTTGGTGCCTAGGGATGTGTGTGATTGACAAGGGTAGAGCTGGAGAAGACCCCTGGCAACTGAGGTCCTGGTAAGATGGTCAGGCCTTTCGAATCTGGAAGGAAGGAGGCCAAGGTGAAATGTGGCAGGAGTCTAGAAAGTCGAAGACAGGCCATCACGTTGCCAAGGACTCTGCACAAAGCTTCAAAGAGGAGAACTAAATCAAGTGCAGTGAAAGGCTGGCTGTGAATTTCTAGAGGAAGTGTGGACTCAAAACACCCCTGTAGAGGACTGGAAAATTCCTGGCTGACAGGCCAGGAAGAGGCAGGTGGGAAGGGGGCTGAAGCCCCAAGGCCCAGCCTGCACTTTGCAGGTGGAGGACAGCCCAAAGTTTGCCCTCTTCCCACACAGGTTCTGGTGGATCTGGGTGGTCAGCTCCCTGGCTGCAGAGGAACTGTGCTCTGTGAGGGGCAGTAAGGGCTCACCCAACACTTGCTGCCCCTCTCTGGACCTGGTTTCCACATCTACGAAAAGGAAGGTTGATCTACATGGTGGTTGTGACAGCTTGTAGTTGTCATTTTCTTCTGTTGACTGAACTAGAATTGGCTCTGGGTTTCGGGATACACATGGGATACAGGAAGGGGGTGACCTCAGTGGGTTCCTGTGTGTGCCCCTTGCAGGTGTTCTCCATGGCACCCCCGTTTGAAGTGAATGGTCTCCCACGAGCTATGCGCCTGGGCGTGCCCTACCAGGAATTCAGGAAGTGTCTTGCTGAATACCGTGAAAATGCAGAGTTGCTCAAGAGGATACGGAAAGTGGGCTTCTCGCACATGCTACTGACCACCCCCCAGGTCCCACTGGCTCCTGTTCAACCTCAAACGAATGGGAAGGAGGAGGAGGAGGAAGAGGAGGAGGAGGAGGAAGAGGAGGAGGAAGAAGAAGAGGAGGAGGAGGAGGCAGAGGAGGAGGAAGAGGAAGACGAGGAAGACGAGGAGGAAGAGGAGGAGGAGGAGGCTGTGGCCCTAGGGGAGGAGCTGGGGCCGCACAGTGGCTCAAGCAGTGAGGGGAGTGAGAGGAGCACGGACCGGAGCCAGGAGGGCGCCCCGTCCACGCTGCTGGCTGATGATCAGAAGGAGTCCAGGGGCCGGGCCTCCATGGCTGACGGGGACCTGGAGCCTGAGGAGGGCTCCAAAACGCTGGTGCTCGTCTCCCCTGGCGACATGAAGAAGTCGCCCGTCACTGCCGACCTGGCCCCTGAACCGGACCTGGGCACTCTGGCTGCCCTCACTCCTCAACATGAGCGACCCCAGCCCACTGGCAGCCAGTTGGACGTGTCAGAGCCAGGCACCTTGTCCTCTGTCCTCAAGTCTGAGCCCAAGCCCCCTGGGCCCGGGATAGGGCTGGGGGCTGGGGCAGTGACCACAGGGGCAGGGGGAGTGGCAGTCACCTCCTCACCCTTCACCAAAGTGGAGAGGACCTTTGTGCACATTGCAGAGAAAACCCACCTCAACGTCATGTCTTCTGGTGGACAAGCCTCCCGGTCTGAGGAGCTTGGCATTGGGAGCGAGTTGGGCCTGGAGGTGCCCTCTAATGGAAGGGTTGTGGAGGAGGGGGCCTCCGTGCCCCTGGAGAATGGCATTGCCCTATCAGGGCTGGAGAGCCGTGCCCTGTCTGGGCCCCCCAGTGACATCCCCTTGGAGGTGGCCATGGACTCACTGCCCAATGGCCCAACCCTTGCTGACAGGCCAGTCCTGGCATCCCCGCTGGAGCCAGGCCCTGAGAAACTGGCCACCATCTCCCCCAGCCGCCACGCCATGCCAGGCCCTCGCCCCAGGAGTCGAATCCCTGTCCTGCTGTCTGAGGAGGACACGGGCTCGGAGCCCTCAGGCTCACTGTCGGCCAAAGAGCGGTGGGGCAAGAGGGCCCGACCACAGCAGGACCTGGCACGGCTGGTGATGGAGAAGAGGCAGGGCCGCCTTCTGTTGCGCTTGGCCTCTGGGGCCTCGTCCTCCTCCAGTGAGGAACAGCGCCGTGCTTCTGAGACGCTCTCAGGCACAGGCTCAGAGGAGGACATGCCTGCCTCTGAGCCTGCGGTGCCCAGGAAAGGTGGGCGGGCAGCTGCTACCCGGAGCCGGATCCCCCGCCCCATCAGCATCCGCATGCCCATGCCTGCCGCAGCCCAGCAGCCCCCCGACAGACCCCATGGCGAGGCCCCAGCATCTGACACAGCCATCACCAGCAGGTGAGAAACCACTGCCAGTCCCAGGGTGGGCAGAGGGTGACCAGAAGGCCTCTACCAGTAGAGGCTTCGTGGGAGCCAAGGTCAGGGACTCTTGATAATTCAGGAAAGACCCTCAGCCCCACCCAACTAAGTGTCTCTTCTAACTCATGTCCCAGCCCTTTAACTGGGCTCAAGGGAGTGGCTGCAGAGAGCTGACTGGAGGGGTGCCAGGGAGACCAGGCTTGGGAAAGTTTGATGGAGGCCAATGGGGTCCACACACAGCCTCTGGTATGCCACAGGGCACTTGAGGCCAAAGGAGAAAGGCCAGAATAGTTGGGAGAAAACATTATTCATATCAATATAAGCATGGGTATATAATAGAGTAGGATGTAAAACCCATGTGAATTTTAAAGATGAAACAGAGACATCAAAGAAAGCCTGCAGCAAGCTCTTCTGGTAGCAGCCTGAGAAGGTGTGGCCTTAGAGGTCCCTCCCTGAAGCTGGGGCACCAGGCCTCAGTTTATCCATCTGTGCTGCAGTCTCCTCAGTCTCATCCAGCTCTGAGGATGCAGGACCCTCCAGCTCAGTGCCCAGGGAGATTCTGAAAATGTCTCTCCTTTTTTGTTTCTTTGCCCTCTTCTTGTCTCTTGCCTTCTGCCCTCTGCACCTCCCGCAGGCTCCAGCTGCAGAAGCCCCCAGGGACGGCCATTGCTGCTGACCTCCGTCCCAAACAGCCTCCAGGCCGCGGTCCAGGGCGAGCCCAAGCCAGCACCAGAGCCCCAGCCCCGCGCAGTCCCGGCCTACCGGCCTCTGCGGCACATCACTCCAGCGCATCCCCCCGGAGCCGATCCTTGTCCCGCAAAGAGAGCCCCTCCCCCTCGCACCAGGCCCGGCCCGGGCCCCCACAACCCCGGGGCACTCCGCAGGCCCGGGCCCAGCCTGATGGCACCCGCTCTCCGGGGGCCCCCAAGAAAGGACCCAGAGGGAAACTCCAGACTCAGCGCGCAGCAACCAAAGGCCGGACGGGGGTCGCGGAGGGCCGGGCCGGGGCCAGATAATGACACGTGTGGCTCTCCGCGGCCCCCCACCCTCACCCCGGCCCCCCACCCGCAGCCGGCCATACTGGAACAGCTCCAGCACAGCCT